CTATGTCCTTTCCACTGCAAAATATCTTGGCTAACATTGCTGAGAACTAAGCAAATCACCCAGGTCCTCTCATCTTCCAGAAACACTGCTGTTCTCATTTTACTGATGCAGTAACTGAGAGTTAGTGGCATTGAAGAGCTTGCTCATGATCCACGTAGCTAAGTGATAGAACTAGGATTTGAATCTGGGACTTCAAAACCAAATATGTCATCTCAGCTCTAGACACTCAGAGCCCTGATTCTAGTTTTGCTTTTGTTATTAACTTAAGGTGGTCCTTTAGGCAAATTGTTCTCTCATTTCAATCTTTAGTTTCCATCTATACAAAGGCTTGTCCAGTTTAGTTCCAAGATTCTTTCTATGGGAATGGCTGGGCCCTTGGAGTGGACCTCTTAGAGGACTTGTCTTCCCAATCTCATTTTGTATTTGTGACTTTGTGGCTGTCTAGGTCAGACAGTAGAGGCTTCACAGGTGCTTTAGTGGTAAAGAATCGACCTGCTAATGCAGGAGACACAGGAGACATGGGTTCAATCCCTGGATCAGGAAGGTCCCCTGGAGGAGGAAATGGTAACCCAATCCAGTATTCTTGCCTGGAGAATCTCATGGACAGAGGAGCCTGGTGGACTGCAGTCACTGAGGTCACAAATAGTCAGACATGACTGAGCATGCTTGCACACATGCAAATCAGACGACTCTCCATTGCCCTCAAAATAGAATACTTTACCATGGCTCAGAAGAGTCTGGATGGTCTGCTCTCTACCAAACTGAATCGTCTCCCACCCATTCTTTGCACTAACCATTTCAAAAAACCCGATGGCTTATGCTCTCTCTAAACCAGTGAGCAGCTTCCTCTGCCTTCCCATCTACCTGAGAAATGTCTGTCACCTTTGAACAACTAGCTCAGATGTCATGCCCCCTGGGAAGATTTGTCTGAGTCCCCAAATTAATAATTGAATGTCCACGTTATATATTCCCATAGCTCCGAGCACATTCTCAAACCTGGAACTCTGCTTCTGGATTAGAAGCTGTTACTATTTCCATCTGTCTCCTGGCAATGACTTAGAGAAGTGCTCAAAGCTTGATCCAGTACACAAATCATGGTGGTGGTGGTGCTAATGATGCTTTTTCTACTAAGAGTTTTGCACATATTAACTTATTTAATTTTTGCTTCAACTCTATAATGTGGGCAAATGTGATCCCCATTTTATGAATAAGGAAACAGAATAAGTAGCTTTTTAAAAGTAGGAAAAGAAACAGGCCTGCATCCCTAAGTACAGTGACAAGAAACACGTAACACCTGGGTGTGTCTCTTCCTGGTTTCTTTCTGCTGGTCTTGCCCTCCCCCAGTTTGATTCTCCTCAACGCAGCCAGAAATGTTTTTAAGCAGTTTGTCTCTGCAAACTGCTGCTTGGAAGTCTTCCATAACTCCCCACTTACCCCTGTGGAGGGCTGATTATAAATTCATTGATTTCTTTTTTCATTTTTAAAATAACCTTTGTGGTAGACCTTCCTCATGGCTCAGTCAGTGAAAAAACTGCCTGCAATGCAGGAGACTTGGGTTCAATTCCTGGGTCGGGAAGATCCCCTGGAGAAGGAAATGGCAACCCACCCCAGTATATTCTTTCTTGCCTGGAGAATCCCCTGGAGAGAGGAGCCTGGCAGGCTACAGTCCATGGGTTTGCAAGACTCAGACTGAGTAACTTTCACTACTGCCTACTTTGTGGTAGACCTAGTTATTATTCCCATTTGTGGGTAAGAAAACTGAGGCACAGTTGGTGAAATAACGTCCTCAATAGCACAGAGCTAGTAAGTGTCTGGGGCAGGATTCGAACCTCAGCAGTCAGGCTCTCGAGCCTGTGTGGGGCACCATTACTCTATACAACCCATGCCCCAGCTTCTAAGCTCCAGTGGCCTGGTTCCTGCCACTTCTCCAGTTTCCCCCTGTGAGCCCACTTGCACACTGTCTTCCATCTCTAAACCCCTTCTCTGTGTGCCTTCCCCTAGCCTTCCGATTATGCATTTTCCCTCTTCTTTGCCGAAACCCTACTTATCATGGAGGCTCAGCACAAGTTCCCCCCTTTCCAGGAAGTCTTCTCGGATTTCCCAGTCCCCCGCTGCACAGTCCTGTGTTCCCCACAGCTCCCACGTCTCCACTTATCCTTGCTCTCGCCACCTGCCCTGCAGTTTTCCACTTGTGTATCTTTCCTACTGAAGTGGGAGCTCTGCCATGTAACAAATGCTCAGCAAAGGAGCAAGCAATGAGTCTGCCTCCTTTAACTTCACCCCCGCCCCGCTCGTCAAAGGAAGAAGCGGGTTTGGAGATGTCAAGTCAAGTTCTCCAGGACACAGAGCTATTAAGGAGCAGAGCAAGAGCTGAAATGAGGTGGCCTGGGAATAAGCTCCTCTGGTCCCCACCCCCCACCCCAGGGAGGCGCCTGCCCGAGGTGAGAGAGCCCTGTGGGGCAAGTGTGATTATGAAGCTATGAATTCTTGGCACCTCAGGAAATATTCCACCCAAGTGGTGAGCTATACAAAGAGGACTTTTTGAAAGGCACCTCATAAATCGTGCCCACAAGACCTACACACATAAGCCCGGCCCTTTTCCAGCCGCCACGCAGGTGCCTGACACAGTCTCCCATTTGTGGGGTCTGCTGTCGTAAAATGCCTCCCTCCTGGGGGTCTCCAAGGGCACGCAGAGGACAGCAGGAGAGGGCCTCGCCTCTGGCCCCTCAGGATCTCCAGGCATCTTGAAGATGCGGAGATGTAGCGGAAAGTGGATCCCACGTGGAGCCGGACACCCGGACGGCAAAGCTGACTTCTGGTGTGACCCTCTCAAAGCCTCCATTTCCCCGCCTTCATGAGACCATGTTGTTGGTTCTCAAATGGGGCGATTTTTTTTAAATCTTGACTTCTTTCTGCCGTGCTGGGTCATCGTTGCACACGGCTTCCTCTGGTTGTGAGTGGGAGCTGCTCTCTGGCTGCGGGGCTGGGGCTTCTTGCTGCCACGGCTTCTCTCCTTGTGGAGCTCGGGCGGTAGGGCACGCAGGCTTCAACGTTGCGCTGTGCAGGCTTAGTTGCCCCGTGGCGCGTGGGATCTTCCAGGACCAGGGACCAAAACCGTGTCCCCTCCACACGGCAAGGTGGATTCCTAACCACTGGACCACCAGGGGAGCCCTCAAAGGGAGTGATTTTGCTCTGCAGAGGATATTTGGTAATGTCTGGACGCAGTTGTATTGTTATGCCTTGGACTGCGGGAGCAGGTATCTTACAGGCAGAGGTGTGGGGATGCTGCCCCTCCAGAAAGAAGGACCCAGCCCACATGTCGACAGTACCCTGTTGAGAAACCTTGGGCTAGGTGATCTCAGAGACGCTTGCCTTAATTTTCTCTGCAGCCGCCAGATCTCCTTGAGGAACCTCTCTCTGGTGCTGCATGAAGAGCGCTAGATAAGTTCCTAACGATGATCACCATAGTCCAAGGCAATTCTTGCCATGAGTGTCCGGCATGACCTTGATCCTGAGACATCATCACAACAGTTCTCACCCTTTCCTGAGGGCGTACTCGAGGTCAGCCTTTGGGCATCTCTCTTAGCTAATCTCACAACCAGTTTCTGAAGGTAGGGCTGCTATCACTATTCTAGAGACAAGGAGAGTGAGAGGCGTCTGATTTGGGGATACAGATATAAAGGCTTTCGTGAAGTAGAAGCCCAGAAGGCAAGCTTTTTTTTCTGACTATGAGAAAAGAGTATGAGAGAAGAGCAGTAAGACAGCAGGCAGAGGGACATGGTGACTGTTCAGACCTAGTTCAGCTTGATGTTTCAGCTTGGTCAAGGGGTGTCATCTCTCTGAAACTTGGGCTCCATACCCATTGAATCTAAGGGGAAAGGACAGTATTTTCAGGGTTGTTGTGAAGGTTAAATACAGATTTTAAACTGTGTATACACCCAGGTTGGATGCATGAGACAAGTGCTCAGGGCTGGTGCCCTGGGATGACCCAGAGGGATGGGATGGAGAGGGAGGTGGGAGGGGGGATCGGAATGGGGAATACATGTAAATCCATTGCGGATTCATGTCAATGTATGGCAAAAACCACTACAATATCATAAAGTAATTAGCCTCCAACGAATAAAAATAAATGCAAAAAAACAGTGTGTATACATTGCTTACCCAGCATCTAGCATGTGGTGTTAATTTATTTTAGTTATTGTTCTTTTTGTCATTTATCATCATTATAATAATTATTACTTGGCTAGAGTTCTAAGGCTTATAAGTTTTATGTTTTAGACGTGAATATGTTAGGTCAGAACTTACACCTCTCTCTACTGTATTATTATTATTTTTTATTATAGTTTCTTTACAGTGTTGTATTAGTTTCTGCTTTACAGCCAAATGATGGAAGCATATCAACTGCACGCATAAGCATATCTCCCCTGTTTCTTGGATTTCCTTCCCATTTAGTTCACCGCAGAGCATTGAGTCGGATTCCCTACACTATACAGTAGGTTCTCATAAGTCACCTGTTTTATTCATGAAACTGAAAAAGTCGCTCAGTCGTGTCCGACTCTTTGCGACCCCATGGACTATACAGTACATGGAATTCTCTAGGCCAGAATACTGGAGGGGGTAGGTATTCCCTTCTCCAAGGGATCTTCCCAACGCAGGGATTGAACCCAGGTCTCCAGCATTGCAGGCAGATTCTTTACCAGCTGAGCCAGCAGGGAAGCCCATAGTATATACATGTCAATCCCTATCTCTCAATCCATCCTACCCCCCTCCTCTCTTGGCGTCCATACAATTGTCCTCGCTTTCACTTTTTGCACATGGCACAAGTGAAGACAAATTCCAAATGATTTTTGAACAAGCGTTCACAATATCACACTCACGGCTAGAAAACTGTTGGGACAAGAAGCCCTCATCCGTCCGCTGACCTTTACTGACCACCTGGAAGTCCTGACCCTTTGACCTGGGCTTCTCCAGCTTCATCCCCGTCCCCTCCTGTCTTCCAGGAAGGCCCACCTGATCCTCCGGCGGCTGGAGAGGGTGAGCAGCCACTGTTCCAGCCTCCTGCGAAGCGCCTACATCCAGAGCCGCGTGGACACCGTGCCCTACCTCTTCTGCCGCAGCGAGGAGGTCCGGCCCGCGGGCATGGTGTGGTTCAGCATCCTCAAGGACACCAAAGTCACGTGCGAGGAGAAGATGGTGTCCATGGCCCGGAACACGTACGGGGAGTCCAAGGGCCGGTGAGGGCGGGCGCCGCCCTCCGCGAGCACAGAGACTCTCCGGGGGAGGCGAGCGGTGCTCTCGTGGATCCGGGGCCTGGCGGGCGGGTGGAGCTCAGCTGAGGATGGGCCGGACGGAGGAGGCGTGCCAGCAAGGCCAAAGCAGACTCTCTTGTGGATAGCCAACGGAGAACTTTGTCACCACTGGAATTCTTCATTTGCCCCCAGCTTTTATTTTTTCTAAGATATCATTTGACTCTATCAAAGTCTCTCCTTTTTAAACTTTTTCTTACGGATGGCAGTCAGTCCTGAGGCAGGAGCTTTCAGTTGGAGACCCAGCGGCCTTTCCTCTTCTTCCTTCCTCCTGCCACCCACCCCCTGGCTTCCTTCCTGCTGTGGACCCCAGGAGGAGCCCTGTGGTGAGCTAGTTGGACCCCCTTCAGCATCAGGAAGGAGGCCCCGAGGATCATTGGCAGTGAGGAAGCTTGGGTCTTTAGGACTTTCGTTTTCCAGACATGTTTGGGTTGGCAGGACCCCTGCCTCTTCCTGCTCCCCGTGGGTCTGCCCAGAGTCCCCGCAGGACTTCCCATGCATTAAAAATTCCTGTTGTCTCTCTCTCTCTCTGCTTGGGTTGTGTTTCTTACTGATGGGGGACCTCTATTTATTCACTCAACAGGTATTTATTGATTCTCTACTATATACCAGGCACTGGGCAATCAGCTAGAGAACAGATTCTCCCTGTCATCAGGGAGCATACAGTCCAATGGAAATTACAGAGAAGCAGCCAGTTATTTCGGGCTGTGGTAGGGGAGGAATGGAGATTCTTCGAACTCATTTCTGGGTCACGAGACAAACGAAAGGGATTCCAAAACGCTTTCTTGAAAAAGTGATGCCGGTATCCAAAAGATGGGGGAGGGGGAGGAGGATTAGCGCCAGGCAGGTGGGGCACCAGGAACAAAAGCCCAGAGATAAGAGGAAAGGTAAGTCAGTCAATGGACATGAGTTTGAGCAAACTCTGGGAGATGGTGAAGGACAGGGAAGCCTGGCGTGTCCCACTCCAAAGAGCAGGATACAGCTGAGCGACTGGACAACAGCAACATCATTCAGAGGCTGAAAGCACTGTCATTGGGAATGGANCTTACCTGTCTTAGTTATTGTATAATGGAGCACCATAGACTAGGTGACTTATAAACAATGCAAATTTGTTTTTCACAGTTCTGGAAGCTGGAAAATCCAAGGTCAAGGCATCAGCAGATTTGGTGTCTGGTGAGAGCTGGTGAGTTCACAGGCAGCCGTCTTCTTGGCGTGTCCTCATGTGATGGAAGGGGAGAGGGATGTCTCTGGGATCTCTCAAAAGAGCACAAATGCCATTTGTGACCACCCTCATGACCTAATCATCTCTTAAAGGTCCCACCTTTAAACACCAGCATATGGAGATTAGTTTCCAACATATGAGTTTGGGGAGAACACAAACATTCATTGTATAGCATTTCCAGGCTCTATTCAAAATTGCTATCGTGTGTACACTTTCCTGAACCCTGGGCCCCAGGCCTTCACCGAGTCATGCTCTTGCTGTAGTATCCATTGTCTTGACACAAAGCTTAGCTCAACAGTTGCATAAAGGTTAACTCTCCAGTGTTCTGGGGCTGTGGTCTAAGCCCGATTGTTTGAATCTGAATCTGTCACCATTCAGCAGCTAGTGCCCTTGGATGAGTAATTTGATGTCAGTGTCCCCATCAGCAAAATGGCGTAAATGTCAGTCTGTCCTCATGGGGTTATTATGAGGTTTGAGCGTGATAGTAGTTATAATGCACCCAGCACAATATATGGTAGGGTATTTTTTCCTTCCCAGGTGGTCCAGTGGTAAAGAATCTGCCTGCCAGTACAGGAGATGCAGGCGATGCAGGTTCAATGCCCAGGTTGGGAGGATCACCTGGAAAAGAAAATGGCAAGCTGCTGCAGTATTCTTGCTTAGGAAATCCCATGGACAGAAGAGCCTGGTGGGCTACAGTCCACGGGGTCGTGAAGAGTCAGACATGACTTAGCAGTGACTGCACACACAGCCCAATAGCACGAGGCCCAAGAAGTCCGTGCTTCTCTCTGGGGCCCTCACAGATGGCTGAGGCTTCTGGGCAGCCGCCCAGTTTGCCAACGGTGGCTGGCCCCTGAGAACGTCCTCCAGCAGGCTGTCCCCAGCTCATTCTCCCTTCCACGCCCCTCTCTGCTTTCAGCCTCCTTTTCCCAGCTCTGAGGAGCCTCTTGCCATTCCCAGTCACTGTAAGGCCCTCAGAAACAAGACTGAGAAGCCTGCTGAGACAGGTGTGTGTTGGGGGGTGGGGTGGCTTGCCACTGCAGGCAAGTAGATTAAACCGATATTTGTTAACATGTTCTCTGGAAAAAAGAAAAATTCTTGAGGTGCTAATGGAGCTTCTGGATCCAGTGCCCTGGCTCTGCACAGCCAGATGGATTCATGGGCTGCCACAGAAAATGCCAGGGAGACTCAGGTCCCACTGTACTGGCACAGATGGCCTTCCATGTGGTTTCCACGACTGAATAGAGAAGTTGTGAACACACGGAGGTGTGTAGTAGGGGTGCACAAGTAATCGCCTGTACATGACCCCATCCTCTGTACAGTCTTTGAGTGTCTTCTCTAGGCAGGCTTCACGGACATACGCTGGTATCTGCCTTTCAGGGAGTTCTCTTCCTAGCAGTGACTCCATACACTTACCACATTTAACCATGTGCGAATATGGTTACCATTTCTTCAGCTAAAAGAAAATGTGGTTTAGGCAGGTTGGATAACCTACTTCAAAGTCATGGTGTTGAGATACTGAGATCTAAACCTGGACAGACAAAGTATTTCAAACTGGTGAGTTCTGTTTTACTACTTCCTAGAGAAAATGGGTATAATGCCCCTCCACCATCTTATCTTATCCCTCTGACTTCCAACAAATGCTTGAGTACTAATTTCTGGGTTTGAGGTACTAAGACAAACAGGACCCAGATCCTGCCCTTATGAAACTCCCAAAACCTCAGTAACTAACTGCAGTGTGATAAAATCGGACATTTTGGAATCAAGCCAACCTGAGTTTAAATATTGGCTGTGCAGTTTACAGTGAAGAAGAGCTAGACCCTGAGAGAAATGTATAAAGCTAACTCAACGGGTCTTGCTAATTTAGAGGCTTGGGTTAGCTGACATTAACTTCTCTAATCCTCACTTTCTTCATGGGATGAATGCATGGACCATCTCAAAGTACTATTGGGAAGATTAAATTAGACGATATATATAAAGCCTTGAGAACAAGGCTGTCAATAAACAGTTATTACAATGGCCTATTTACATGAGGAAAGATAGGTGAGATTCACTTTGCATCAGGAAAGCCTTTGTAGTCAAAGGATAATCAAGTTCCGTAAGTAGAGCAGTAGAAAAAGGACATCATGGACAGACAGACAGGCATGTTTTTGGGAGAGCGTGCTTTGTCTGAAGGATGGTGAGCAAGTGGTGTGGCCTGAGAGGGCAGGGTATGTCTGGAGAGGCTGGCAGTGCAGACCACACTGGCCACTGGAAGACCTTAGATTGAAAGCAGGGGTGTGACATGGGCAGATAGGCATTTTGCGAAGATACTTCTGGTTGCAAGGTAGGAGAGCGGCGAGAAAGGAGAGAGCCATTGGCACTAGATAGCACAGGGCAGGGTGGTTAGTGGTGGTTAGGAGGGGGCTGAGGGCACCTGAGCGCGGTCATTGCAGAAGTGAGGCTGGGTCTGAGTGCTGGGAGAGGGGTTGACGCAGCAGGGCTTGTTATGACTAAGAGGCCCGGAGACTCAGATCTTGCCTTTCTCCTCTGGTGTCTGAGTATTCAACTGGGCAGAATGTGGGACACGAAGTGGATGGATAAATCCGCTTGGTCTCAATGGACAGTGCATGGATGAGGCAGGATTTGTATCATGCAAATATAGTCACTGGGCCGAAAGAGAGCCAAGAATATCATTTAGCTTTATGTGGAAGCCGTGCATGGAACTGTGTGTCACTGTGCACAAATGTGTTATGAGTTCCCAGTGCCCCATCGCAAAGGATTGTGTAAAGCTGGCATAGAATCTTCTGGACGAGTTAAGTACTGACCTTATGAAAAGAGCACTGAATTCTTCAGCATCACCTTGTCCTCTTCCTTCTCGCCATCATCATCATCACTATCCTCATCACCATTATCATTTAGATGATTGATTCCTTACCATATTCCAGATTCTTTGCATATATATTTCATACACTTCTTACAACAACTCTGTGATATATAAGTTATCACCCCATTTTATAGATGAAGGAATTAAACCCCAGAGGTTTTAAGAATCTTCCTGGTCTCAGGCAGCTGGAACCAAAGTTTGAATCCAGGTATCATTTGACCCCAGAATTTTAACCATTGTGTTCTGCTGCCTTCTGAGATGGGGAGCTCTGGATTCTAGTCTTTCCTCTGCAGTAGAGTAACTAATCAGTTAACCTTGAGCAAGCCCTTCACCCTCTGTGGGCCTTGGATTCTCCATATGCTCCCACCATATTGGGAAAGATGTATGTATCATAAATAGGAGGAAGTGTGTTAGATGATGACTCATGTATAAAGAACAGTTGTCACCTCTCTCTCCCTTTAATCTTCACACGTTCCCGTTGAGGTTGAGAGTGGCAGAATGAATGACTCCATTTGGCCAGTCTAGAGAGGCAGGCTGCAGTCCATGGGATCGCAGGAGTCGGACGTGACTTAGCAACTAAATCACCACCACCTCCACCACCACCAGAGAGGGTTAAGATCTCAGCAAGGCCATAGATCTTGGATCTACAACCAACTCTAGTGCCCTGGAGACGAGTCCAGTCCCACTCATGGTCACACAAGCCCCAGGTTGCTAAGAGTCTAGTAGCCTTGGACAAATGGCCATTGCTGGGTTTTCTTCTCTGCCTAACTGGGGAAAATAGTGACACCCCTCATAAGGTTATGTGGTGGTGGTAACCTGCCAGGCTCCTCTGTCCATGGGATTCTCCAGGCAAGAATATTAGAGTGGGTTGCCATTTCCTTCTCTAGCGGATCTTCCTAACCCAGGAATCGAACCTGAGTCTCCTGCATTGCAGGCAGATTCTTTACTAACTGAGCAGCAAGGGAAGCCCTCATAATGTTATAGTGAGGGCATGTCAGATCCATAGGACAGTAGTACTTGGCCTGTAACAAGGACTATATAAGTGTTTGTTGTGGTCATTTTTGTACTCAGCATCCTACTTGACAGCCACGTTGAAGAATCCCCATCAGTGCCCTCTCACACCTACCTTCTTAGTCTTTGCATGTGCTGATCACCCTTCTAGGAATGCCCTTCCAGCCTGGGCATTCAGTTCAGTTCAGTCGCTCAGTCGTGTCCGATTCTTTGCAACCCCATGAACTGCAGCATGCCAGGCCTCCTTGTCCATCACCAACTCCTGGAGTTTACCCAAAACTCAGTGTCCATTGAGTCAGTGATGCCATCCAACCATCTCATCCTCTGTCATCCCCTTCTCCTCCTACCCTCAATCTTTCCCAGCATCAGGGTCTTTTCAAATGAGTCAGCTCTTCGCATCAGGTGACCAAAGTTTTGGAGTTTCAGCTTC